TTTCAGAATAATGGCAGAAATCTTCCCCCCCACCTGGTGAAAGAAATGGACTTACAGGTCAAGAAGCGCAGAGAACCCCAAACAAAAGGAATCCAAAGAGGCCCACCCCAAGACACATCATAATTAAAATGCCAAGAGCAAAAGACAAAGAGAGAATCTTAAAAGCAGCAAGAGAAAGAGACTCAATTACCTACAAGGGAATACCCATACGACTGTCAGCTGATTTCTCAACAGAAACTTTGCAGGCCAGAAGGGAATGGCAAGAAATATTCAAAGTGCTGAATACCAAGAACCTACAACCAAGAGTACTTTATCCAGCAAAGCTATCATTCAGAATTGAAGGTCAGATAAAGAGCTTCACAGACAAGGAAAAGCTAAAGGAGTTCATCACCACTAAACCAGTATTATACGAAATACTGAAAGGTATCCTTTAAGAAGAGGAAGAAGAAAAAGGTAAAGATACAAATTGTGAACAACAAACATGCATCTATCAACAAGTGAATCTAAGAATCAAGTGAATAAATAATCTGATGTACAGAATGAACTGGTGATTATAATAGAATCAGGGACATAGAAAGGGAATGGACTGACTATTCTTGGGGGGGGGGAGGGGAATGGGAGATTCGGGAAGAGACTGGACAAAAATCGTGCACCTATGGATGAGGACAGTGGGTGGGGAATGAGGGCGGAGGGTGGGGCGGGAACTGGAAGGAGGGGAGTTATGGGGGGGGGGAAGAGGAACAAATGTAATCCGAACAATAAAAATTTTAATAAAAAAAATAAAAATAAAAAAAATAAAACATCACTCCTATCTTATTGAAATTATACTTATTCCTAGTTTAACTTAGAATTTTTCTTAATCTATGTTCATGGTTTTCTTTTTACATATTGTAGCTTGTTATTTTTATTTTATAATTAAATATAATTATCTTTAAAAAAAAAAGAAAATTGTCAGAACTTGTAAAGATCTAAGTAGATTACATCCTTTGGTTCTTCTCTCCATCATTCATTTTCAGGGTCCCAAGACCCCAGGCCTGGTCCCCATTGATCAAAATGCTATTTGGGTTTACAAGCCGGTCTCTCTGAGAGCTAATCACTAGGGCAGGTCATCCCTGCACAAACCAGAAATGCAGCAATGACCCATGTCTTCCTTCATCTAGTATTTACTGAGCAACTACTATTTGCCAGGTGCTGTTCTAAGCATGAGGGATGCAACACTGAACAAAGCAGACAAAAGTCCCCGCCTTCACAGCGCTTATGGTCTAGTAGAGAGAAGGCCGGACATGCACAGCATAGCAGTCAAACGCATGGCCTAGAGGAGGTGAACAGTGCCACAGAGAAAAATAAAACAGCGAAGGGAGCTGGGGAAGTTCAGGCGAGGGCCTTGGAGAGAAGTCAGGCAAGGCTCCCCGAGAAGACAGAATTAAACAGACGCCTGAAAATGGTCCGTTCCTCCTCTATGGTACTGTGAACGCGAAAAGTACTTTGCTCTCTGCTGTCTCACGTCACCCTAATAGCAGCTTTCGGCAGGAAAACTGTCAAACGTGTTCAAGACTAAGTAGCTGAGGTCAACAGAAGTTGAGGCACCGAGGATTTGCCAAGGCCTCCCGCCATTTGGAGACGGAGCCAAGACTAGGAACCCAGGTCCCCTTAGGTCCTCGCAAGCTACCAATGTGTTCATCTAACAAAACGGAAGTGTGCTTCTCAATACGCGTGGCTGAGGCAGAGGGCTGAGCAGAGGCGAAGCCGTGGTCTGGGAGCCCACCCCGCCTCTCAGGGTTCTCAGGAGGCCACACCTGGGTCCTGCTGACGTGGGGCTCGGGGACCTTTCTGCCGAAGGCGGCCGGGCCGCCCCACTTTCTGTACGTGAGCAAGCTGTCCTGTGACTCCGCGTCAGGGGCTGACCTGGACGCATGCAAAGGCAAGCCCGAGTTCCTGTGCCCTGAGAACAATCCCAAGTGCCATACCTTTGCCATGGCTCTTCTTCGCGTTTCTCTGAAAGTCCGAGCTTTGTTTGATCAAATGACACGGACGGCCCAGAAACCTTGACAACCAGCTTGAAATTTTTTCTCCACAATCATGAGTATTTACCCTGACCAAAAAAAAAAAGGAATGGTGAATGGTGTATCGTATTATTTCATAACAGTCTAAATGGCAAAGAGTAATATAATATTTTGTAATAATCATTGAGCCCCGGCCAGAAGGAAGCCTAGAGTGGCAGGAGTGCTTAGGAAGCTGCAGGGAGATTCCCAAGGCACAGCAAGACCTGAGACCTGGGCTTGTGCGAAGCTTTAAGATCAGATAAAAGGGTTTAGAAGTTCCTCTTGAAACACCTTCTTTAAATTATAGCCACTGAGAAAACAACCTTGGAATCTGGGACTTTCCAGAGCATTATCTTGCTCTAAGAAGCCCTCACACCCAGAGATGGGCCTTTTACTATGGGCCTGACTCTAGTCTTTCCTCTCACACCCAGACCTCGTGGACTGACATGTTTGGTTTGTGAAAGAACATCACTGTGCCTATAAATCACCAATGTAAGTACATTTATTGATCTGTTTTTTAAAAAAATACTCCGCAATCTTTTAGAATTTTTAAATAGAATTCCAAATTTTAAAAAAAATTTAATCTATACATCACCAGAATTAATAAGAAAAAATTGCTAATATCTTACCCTGGGATTATAAGATCGCTATTATTGAAAACCTATCTTATCCTTAATTTTCACTCAGAATAATATTTGCCTTTCTTTTCTAGAAAGGGAAGAGAAGAAGGAAACCTCACTTTGTAGCACATTCGCACTAATTCCATTTTCATTCTATTAAGTCCTCACAGTTCCTAGCTTAGCCTCTCCTACCTGAAAGCTTTATTCACCAGAAAAACGGCCTCCCTCTCAGATGCAGCTAAATGACAGGTACAACCTGGAATGAGCCGGGGAAGCAACTGCAGGTGTTCCTCAATGGCTCTATTTCTCTCTCTGAGATTTACAGTGGTGACGAGCAAAAATGCTCACCCGAGACTCGGAGCCCTCACGTGTGTGTTACCGCGAACATTTGCTGGCACAAGCGCAGTGGAAGGATGCCCACTGTGCTTGCTCTCGGCTCCAGGATGGCCCAGTGCCCCTCACGCTGAGTCATGCCCAGCAGGATCCTCACACTACACCTGCATACCTTTCCTGAGGTGCAGCCCTTCATCACCCAGTGAGACCAGGGGCCCTAAAAATGTGAACCCAATTTAGATACAGCTTTATTATTTCACATATCATTTCATGATTTACACGGTGAGGCAGTGCAGAAGGAAATGCAGTCAATGCCATACTGTGCAGTATCGCCATCGACTGAGCACAAACACCCACTAATGAGCTGATTGTGTCAACTAATAGGCAATTAGCAGTTTAAAAGCGCTCAACATATAAATCCTAGTGCACTGTTACCGTTAACTGTTTTAGTACTGGGGAGTAAATTGGTTGGGGTATCAGATGGGCTGGGTAAGTTTCCACAATCAGAAAATTTGCTCCTGCACATGTTTTGGGGCCCAGATTAGACTTAGATAGTCAATATATTCAATAAATAGATTTATAAACATTCACAATCAAAAATAAAATAGAAATGCTATTATTGCATTCCATCTCATTATCCACATTTCCTAGAATTTAGCCGATGATTTATCATCAGTAACTCAGATTAGGCAATAATTCACAACTATATGAAATATAACTTATGGGTTATCACCTGAAAACTATACACCCTGAGGGATGTGACATCCCCTTACCCTCTGGCTCCACATCCAATCCATCCACTGGTTCAGGTGGGTCTACCTCCAGGATATATATCCGACACCGCCTGGTTTCCCCCTGACCCTTCCTCTTGTCTCAGCTGGCCTCCTCACTCGCACCCTCACCAGCTTCCAACTATTCTACACCCATAAGCCAGTCTTTTCAAAAGAGGAATCAGGTCCCTACCCTCACCTCTCTACAGCAGCCAGCCCACCCCAGCCCCTCCATGCCTCCCCTGAACAGTTCCTATGTTCCTCACTCACCATGCCTCCCCCACAGCCTGTTCCAAGCTCTGCAGGAAGCAGCACAGACTGAGCCCCGCTCTCCCCAGTGGGCATTTTAGCAGGAGGGACTAAAGGTAAAGGTTGGGTAACAGTCAATGCTGAGGAGAAGAATGCAGCCGGGCAGCAGCGAGGGAGGCTGGTTCTGTGGGAGGCCGGTGCCCCTCTGAGAAAGGGGCTTTTCCGCAGAGACCAGGTGGCAGTGAGACTGATGGAGGTGAGGGGGCGAGCCCCCTGGAGGTATAAAGAGAGGAAGAGCATTCCAAGCAGAGGAAACAGGAGTGCAAAGCCCTGAGAGGGAGCCAGGGTGGTGAGTGGAGTGCGCCATGGGGAGCAGCAGTGGCAGTGGGTGGGATGGAGGACTCAGCAGAGGACTCGTCACCTGCAGGTGGACCTGAGATTTTCCCCTGCTGCAGTCTCACCTGTCCGCACAGACCTTGCTTTGGCAAATCTGAACCCATTCACCATTTTCCTCAAGAGGCACCTCTATAGGCTCCATTCCTGATGAGCAAAGGTTAGAAACAAATGTATTACCAAGCAAAAAGAACAACTATGTTAGTTGAAGTCCATTATTATGAAATTTACAAGAATCTTAATAACCCTGGAAACTGGTTGAATCAAATAAGTGTCTGGGTCTTGGAAATCTTCTAACAGATTCTCTTCAGCATGATCAGTGCCCACAAGCTGTGCATTGAGCGTATTTAGCAGGGGATCCTGCAGTGGGCAGCCACATCCAGGGTCCCAGGAACACTGTAAATTCCTTTGAAAGTTTTCTCTACCTCTGGATGACTCCACATCCCAAGGTCATTGTTCTCTAAGCTACCTAAAATTCTTTAGAAATAGACAGGCAGGCGTGAAGGCTCATTCTACAAAGATATCAGCATAGAGTGTCAACTCTCGGTAGCCCCTAAGAGTCAGCATCAAATTAGATTCCTGCACCAATCATCATTATTTCAAAGTCTGTTATGTCAATGGGGTTGAGCAGCTATTTTTTAATTGTTATAGATACATCATACATATAAAGGAGTATATAACACCTGTATGTAACAGGTTAAATAATAATATTAATTAACACTGATGTATACACTACTCAGAGAGTAGAAAGTAAAATATTCCACTCAAATCTTTCTGTGTATTATTATCCTGGATACCTGAACTTGAACAAGAAAAATACAATAAAAGAAGGTAATATATCAATCTCACTAATAAAAATAGGTATAAAAATGCTAAAAAAAAATCAGCAATCCAAATGTATCAACAAATCATTGCCAAGTAGTGTTTTCTCTCCCCCAAGAATGCAAGAATACTTCAGTACTGGACAGTCTGCTAATGTAAGACATCACACTCCTAGAATATACGAGAAAAATATAACCAACAGATGCAGAAAAAGCATTCAATAAGAAATGACTATTATTCATGACAAAACTTTTGGCTAAATAAGAAAAGAACTACTTAACCCGGTAAATCAAATCAGTAAGCATAATTTTAATTTTGAGACCTTAGAACTATTCTATTCAAATCAGTAATAAAGAAGGATATCTTCCATCACTGTTACAACATTATACAAGAAGGCCTAGCCAAGAAGTAAGATTTTTTTAAAAAAGGAAAAAAGCCTACCAGCAGTGGCTCAGTGGTTGAGCATTGATCTATGAACCAGGAGATCATGGTTCAATTCCCGGTCAGGGCACATGCCCACGTTGTGGGCTCTATCCCCAGTGTGGGGAGTGCAGGACCCAGCCAATCAATGATTCTCTCTCATCATTGATATTTCTCTCTCTTTCTCTCTCTCTTCTCTCTTCTCTTCTCTTCTTCTTCTTCTTCTTCTTCTTCTTCTTCTTCTTCTTCTTCTCTCTCTCTCTCTCTCTCTCTCTCTTTCTCTCTCTCTCTCTCTCTTCCCCTCTCTGAAATCAATAAAAATATATTTTTTAAAAAAAGGGAAATAATAATTAGAAAGGAAGGCATGAAACTATCATTTTAGAAGACAATATGCCAATTTACATAGAACATGGCAAAATCTTCAGATCAACTAAGAAAACTAACAGGAATTCAGAAAAAAAATCTGGGTAAAACATTGATATACAAAAATCAATAGTTTTTCTATATGGCATTCATAACCGATTTAATAGAAAAAAATAATATTCAAAATACTCAAACTATTATATATCCAAAAATGTGCAGAAATTTTCTGGAAAATATTAAATTTTTGGAGTAAGTTAAGAAGTCTTAAATGAAGAGAAATACTATCTATAATAATAAACGCATAATATGCTAATTAGACCAGACAGCCAAACAACCTTCCGGACGTCCTTTTGGGTGACCTTCCAGGTGAAGCCACAGTGGGGGGGGCGGGGGGCCAAGGCAGAGGTGGTTAGGGGCAATCAGGCAGGCAGGTGAGCAGTTAGGGGTGATCAGGCAGGCAGGCGAGTGGTTAGGAGTCAGTGGTCCTGGCTTGCAAGAGGGATGTCTGACTGACGGTTTAGGCCCGATCCTGCAGGTGGTTGAAGTCAAACCTACTTTTGTCTCTACCCTCCTCCACCCCGCCCCCGTATGCACTGCATGTTTTCATTCTCTCTGCTGGCTTTTATTATAGACTAGTAGCATACATAAAATTACAGACCAGCTCTGTCCAGTGGAACTTTCTGTGATGTTAGAATATTCATTCTCTGCAGGATAAGGCCTAAACCGTCAGTCGGACATACCCTGAGGGGTCCGGGATTGCAAGAGGGTGCAGGCCGGGCTGAGGGACACCCCCCATCCTGTGCATGAATTTCGTGCACCGGGCCTCTAGTTTATATATAAAAGACAATATTATATTACATAAATTCTCCTGAACTGAATATATGGCATTACAATCAAAATATAATTACAAATATATAATTGCAAAATACATGTGCTGTTCAACACTGTAACCACTAGCCACATGCAGCAATTTAAATTAATCAACATTAAATAAAATTTATAATTCAGTTCTCTTGTCCGGCTGGCCCCATTTCAAGTGTTCAGTAGCCACATGTGACTGGTGGCTACCAAATGGACAATATAGAGAATGAATACTCCACCGTCACAGAAAGTTCCACTGGACAGAGCTGGTCTGTAATTTTATGTATGCTACTCGTCTATAATAAAAGCCAGCAGAGAGAATGAAAGCATGCAGTGCATACGGGGGCGGGGTGGAGGAGGGTAGAGACAAAAGTAGGTTTGACTTCAACCACCTCAGGAGGCAGTGGGGCTGACCCACGCAGGTCACTGAAATTCGGGTTTCTTTACTGATTTCCAAAGACTGCAAGGACGTGTAAAGAGTGAAGGCCGGCAATTGAGCATTTATGAGATTGTTCCTAAGTGCACGGTGCCACTGTGACATTCTTTTGAGTTAATAAAGCTGTTGTAATAATCATACCTTGCCTGTCTTTCTCCATACAAACAATTATAAGCCTACTTTTACCCACCCTGTATGATGATGACTGAAGGATATGAAAGGAATGTAAGTGAAAAGCACATCACGTAATTCCAGAAGTTATGCCTCTTTAGTTTCTGATTGGACCCTCAGGTCTTTACCTTTCCCCAGAAAATTCCCACAACACGAGAGGAACAAGCTTTCTGTTGTCTCTTCTAGGCACCATTTCATTTTTGGATCATTTCAATATTGGGTGGAGGAAAAGCCTTATCCTCCTTTCACGTGAGTCTATAGGCCACTTTGACAGCTGCATGGTGAAAAGGAACCCATTTTCCCACCTTTGGCTCTAACGACCATGATCCTCTGCTGCAGGTCAATGCGGGGCTGGACCAGGCACAGCCGAGGCTCCTGCTTCTGACTCAGGCAAATGCCATTGTGGTTCACAACCATCCAGCTCCGGTCGTACAGCAGCCCTTGGTGTCCCACAGGCCACTGCGTCACCTAAACAAAAAGGGAAGCACATTGTAGGTCAGGGCTCCTCAGCTGGACTTCAGGGATTCAGCACATACTGCGCCCATATAGCTGGACTTCAGGGATTCAGCACATACTCCTGAAGGAAGAATGGGGAGGAAGAAAGTCAAACCAGAGGACAACGCAAAGGACCCAGACACCTTCCACTCACCCTACACACCCACCCTTCTCCATCTCAATCCGTTTCTTCAGTAGGTGAGGCATGTGCGTGGTACCGCACCCAAATCCCTCCTCACCACCCCCCACTCTTTCTCTCCGTTCCTCCAATGGACCAGGCTCTTTCTCACCTCAGGGTCTCCTCACATGCGGTTCTCTCTGCCTGGAATGCTCTTCCCCCTCTCTCTGTATGCCTGACTCCCAGGTCTCAGGTTAAATGTCCCTTCTTCAAGAAGCCTTTCCTGCCACCTCCAAATATAATCTAAGTACCCCACTGCAGTGAACTAAATGTCTGTGTCCCCCCCAGAATTCATGTTGAGAGTCTAACTCCCGATGTGAAGTTGTTGGGAGGAGGAGCCTTTGGGAGGTGACTCGGTCACAAGGGTGGAGCTCTCATGAATGGGATTAGTGCCCTTTTCAAAGAGGCCCACAGAGTTCCCTCACCCCCGTGTTAGGACACAGCAGGAAGGCAGCTGTCTGTGAACCAGGAAGTCGGTGCTCACCGGGCACCAAATCTGCCTGTGCCTTCACGTTGGTTGTCCAGCCTCCAGACTGTGAGGAATAATGTCTGTTGTTCATTAGCCACCCAGCTGGCAGGTTTGCTATAGCTGCCTGAATGGACTAAGTCACCCACCCACCAGGATTCTCTCTGGCATCCCCACCTTCGCCGTCTTGGCCTTCGTCAGCAGTGTCGTTCCATTCACTTGGTGATGTTTGGTCTCTGTCTATGTCCCTTCTGAGACAGTGCCCCCCCCCCCACCACCACCACCAGGGAAGGAACCATTTCCATTTTGCTCATCACTGTCCACCAGGCTCTGGCCCACAGCCTGGCAGGTAGCAGGTGTTCAGTGTGTCGTTTTTGAAGGAGCAGAGGGATGGAAGACCTTGAGCAATGTACGAAACCCTACTGAGACTCAGTGTCCTCATCTGTAAAATGGAATAGTAATTGCTGCCCGTGCTATTGTGCGATGTAGCTGTCCCGCGGAACAGGACCCATCTCTGAAGACAGTCCTGTACGCAAGGGCACCTGGAGTCCCCACCTGCCTCCGTTTTGAAGTGGAGGTGAACTTGCTTGTTTATGGCTCAGCCTGGAGGTCAGGCTTTTGTGGGACACCCCGAAAAGCAGGTGAAAACAGCCCTGACCCCCGAATGTCTGACCAAGAGCCAGAAAGCCTGTTACCCCAAGGACTTGGGATCTGGGACCTGAACCTGGGAACTTGGATACACCTGAATGAACAAAGGCAGCCTTCACTTTGGTCCCACCCGGGGGAAAGGGTGGGGGGCGGGGGGTGCCAAAGCATTCACTCCCCTCTTTCAGCTCGGGTGACCCCTGGCCAGCTGCTTTTAAGACAGAGCATAGTTCACGTCCATGGGAGAGCTGAGGGGAACAAGTTGCACAATGAGTCACAGACCCGGGTTCAAATCCCTGCTCTGCCCTGTCAGACCTGGGTAAAGTGCTTCACCTCAGTGGGCTCCGGGCTCCATCTCTACAAAATGGGGATGATATTACCATGTGCCTCATATTATTGTTTTAAGAATCAAATGAAACAAGGCACATGAAATGCCACATTAGGGAGGCACCCCATGCATTCGCTGAAAGTTGTATCCATAATTATTAACAGTAAGCAGGTGGGCCCTAGCCGGTTTGGCTCAGTGGATAGAGCATCCACCTGCGGACTGAAGGGTCCCAGTTCGATTCCGGTCAAGGGCACATGCCCGGGTTGTGGGCTCGATCCCCAGTAGGGGGCGTGCAGGAAGCAGCCGATCGATGATTCTCTCTCATCATTGATGTTTCTCTCTCTCTCCCTCTCCTTTCCTCCCTGAAACCAATAAAGAAATATATTATAAAAGTTAAAAAAAATAAAACCAGTAAGCAGGCATTCACCACTCAGGGTCCCCTCAAGGGTCCCTGCAGGCAGAGCCCTGTTCAAAGGTCAGCCCAGACCAAGAAAGGCCGACAGAATGGCTCTTCAGACGTCACAACACTCTGACCTTGAGTGGGATTTTCTGCATGATTTTTTTTTCACATTCTGTACTTTTTTCTTCACTTTGCCCAAAAAAACCCCCACATTATAAACAAAAAAACAAGCACTCCCAGTTCTGCCATTAAACCCTTACCTCAAACGCAGCACAGGATTTGATGGGGTAGAGGAAAAGGTTGGTGATGACATGTGGCCCAAGGCCCCCACCCGGGGCTGCTGCCGCTTTCTCTGAAGGGGCCTGCAGGGTCCCAGTGGCCTCTGGCAGAGGTGGGCGCAAACACACAGCACCCACAGCAGGGGGCCTGTCATTCCCGGCCCTGGAGGCTGTGGGGGTATCTTCCCGAGGAGAGGGACTAGGTCTGTGCCTGGTGGCAGCCACAGTGGCAGGCACGGTGGTGAGCACAGTGATGGGCACTGTGGTGGGCACAGTGGCGGGCACGGTGGTGGACAGAGTGGTGTACACAGTGGCAGGCACGGTGGTGGGCACAGTGGTGGACACAGTGGTATGCCTGGTGGTGGGCACAGTGGTGGGCACGGTGGTGGACAGAGTGGTGGACACAGTGGCAGGCACAGTGGTGGGCACAGCGGTATGCCTGGTGGTGGGCACAGTGGCAGGCACAGTGGTAGGCACGGTGGCGGGCACGGTGGTGGGCACGGTGCTCTGAGCCTCGCTCTCTGCTGGTGCGGTGCCAGCCTCCCCAGGGACGGCCTGAGGAACAGGCTGGCTATGTTGCGGGCGCAGTCGGGTGGCTATGATGAACTTGAGAAAGGCTTGGGCATCCTCAAGAGTAGACATGTATCCAAATGAAATCCTCACAGACCCTGTCGGCTGCCCATCTACGAGGTCCACGTCATCTCCACAGACATGACCAGCCTGGAAGAGAAGGGAACGAAGTCAGCTGCTCCTCACAGATAGATTTCGTTCATCTTGTAAAATAAAATGGACCCAGAAAATGGAATCGCACCTCTAACCTGGGCTGCGTGCCTGCGACATCGTCCATCCGTCCGTCCGGCAAGCAGGGCTCACTGTGTAGATCGCCCTTTGCTCAAGTGCAAATTGGGGTCAACACTGATCTCAAGGGGCCATTAAAAGCTTAAAGCAGTGGTTCTCAACCTTCTGGCCCTTTAAATACAGTTCCTCATGTTGTGACCCAACCATAAAATTATTTTTGTTGCTACTTCATAACTGTAATGTTGCTACTGTTATGAATCGTAATGTAAATATCTGATATGCAGGGTGGTCTTAGGCGACCCCTGTTCAACCGCCAAAGGGGTCGAGACCCACAGGTTGAGAACCGCTGGCTTAAAGGAAACACTTCGCGGAAAGCATCTACCTGGGCTGCGAGCTGCGAGCTGCGCACAGAGCCAGAGCCGACTGGCAGAGAGGGGTATGGAAAGATGACCAAAGCTCCCGCAGCGCCCAGGGCTCACCTTCAGGGTCCACCCAGGGCTGAGGTCGGAGGACACCCGCTGGCCACACCCTCAGCCTCTCAGAACCAGGGAGGCCTGCATCCCTGGCAGCTGCCCTTTGAGCTGCTGCCCTGTGAACCACCCTCCTGAGGCCACTACAAGAGCCAAAGCCGAAGGAAGCTCGAGGGTCCCTGCTGGGCGGCGGGGAAAGGAAGGCGAGAGGTCCCGTGCCTCTCAGAGCTCAGCGCCCCGGTGCTGGTCACTGCCCAGGACGCCTCCCTCCCAGCACCTAATCCGGGTCAGTCCTCCAGGGAGGTGGGGCCCGGCATTCATTCCACAGGATCAAACATCCCACCTGGACTTCCTTGTTTGTGTTCTGAGCTTCCCTCTCTCTCTTCTCAAATAAAACCTGGTCGTGGTTGGTCGGGATCTAATATATGCGATATTTACTGGCAACCAAACAAAACTCAAGTTGAAACTATTCCTAAATAAATAAGGGCTCTCTGCCACTCAAACTGTTATGAAAGGGTTCCAAGCAGCTTTCCCTTGAAGCGAAATCCTCAGTGCAGGGGAAGGGAGGAGGGAGGGGTTCTGATGGACGCGGAACGCCCCTGGGAGGGTCCCCCCCTCACCCAGCCCAGGACAAGGGGACTCCAGCTTGGAGATGTTCACCCTGACCGGGCTGGACTAATTAAGGGCCCCCTGTCAGAACCCCTCTCCAGCCTTTACATTTTGCCTTCAAAGTAAAAAAGACTCATGGAGATACCATCCCGAAGCATTTTCCATATTTGTTGATCTGCTTCCTTTGCACATCCACAGGGTGGGCTTAGAAAATGAGCCAGCGCCCACCCGACACGAGGCCAGCCCCCGGGATTCTTGGGGGCACCACCCTGGGGTGTTGCTGGCAAGCATCTGGGCCGCAGGGCCTGACACCCACCTGAAGGTGCTTCTTGACCATCTCGTCGCTGATCCCCAGGTGCCGCTGGCAGGCCCCCGTGTTGCAGAAGCAGCCGGTGCGCACCTGGATGTTGAAAAGACTGGCCATCTTCTCCACCTGCGGGTTGAACGTGACACGGAGCCAGGTGAGGAATGACCGCCGTTACTCAATGGCCTGGGTACTATCTGGACCTCTCTTTCCTAACAATAAATGAAAACAGGAGCCTGCAAGTTTGCTCTAAAGTGCCATGATCTTCACAAGTTTATTAAACACATTGTATAGGATGTTATCCTGTGAAATAGAGATGTTTGCCTGAGAAAAGAGAAAGTATCGCCCTGGCCAGGTAGCTTGATTAGTTAGCAAGGGTCCTCAAACTTTTTAAACAGGGGGCCAGTTCACTGTCCCTCAGACCGTTGGAGGGCCGGACTATAGTTTAAAAAAAAACTATGAACAAATTCCTATGCACACTGCACATATCTTATTTTGAAGTAAAAAAACAAAACGGGAACAAATACAATATTTGTATTTGCTTGTGGCCCTCGGGCTGTAGTTTGAGGACCCCTGGGTTAGAGCGTCATCCTGATACACCAAGGTTGGGGGTTCAGTCCCCGGTCAGGACACATACAAGAATCAACCAATGAATGCATAAATAAGTGGAACAACAAACCTTTCTCTCTCTCTCTCTCTCGCTCTCTCTCTCTCTCTCTCCCTCCCTATCAAGAAAAAAATACTTTAAAAAAATACAGAGAGAAAGTATCGAGTGTAGGCCAAAATTCCAAGTTAGGGCCCACGCATTTCAAGTGAGATGAATAAGTACAGAACCTGAGCACGACATGGGCAGCCCTTGGCACCCTCTGCCACAGGGTTGATTCCAGAGCAGGCCCAGCTGAGCTACCACTCAGAGCAGCTCACAGCCTGGACTGAAGACATTACTGTGTTGAGCTTGTGTGTTATCAATTTGCTTTTCATAATGTCCTAACTTTGGGCTGAATCCCAGAACTGCTGTTTAATCCAGAAGTTCCAAGGTGCTTTTCTGTCCCCTGGCAGCGCAGGGAGGTGATTCACATTCACTCAAGACACACAGGCAGGGTTAGCCTGGGGGGCGTTTGTCCCAGCTCTTCTGCTGTGGGCCACGGGCTCCATTCCTCCAAGGGCCTGGAGGCCCGGTGAGGGGCCTCAGCCCCGGTGACTCCGGTTAAACTCAAGGGAGTCACCTAACTGCGTTCAGGGAGACAAATACATCTTGACCAGTGGGGTAAGCCCTTGAAACTTTCCTCCCTGGGAAGTCACATGTTGGGTCGCCAGAGCAGCCGCGAGGATAGGGCGCCCTCTGCAGACCACAGGTCGCCTGGGCCAGCCTGGGCCCTAGCTGGGCAGTGCTGGCAATGGTACCTCTCTTGTCAAGACCATAGCTGTCTCCCCTGGACTATCAGAATGAGAAGAAGCTATTCTCTGGACTGAACCAAGAGGCCTCCAAAAACAACTCCACTCCTTTAGCCCTGAGGAACAGCTCAGTGATGTGGAAATCCGATCATGACATCTCGGGAATCTGAGATGAGACCTGGCAGCACCTCTGGTTCTGGCCAGCCCCATTCCCAGGATCGGAGGAAGGGATTCGTTGCAATAGCGCCCTCTGGTGGACAGTCTGAGAACAACACTCTAGTAAGGGATTAGTGGCAATGGTGCCCCTAGGGAAGCGCCTCACGCCCCGACCCCAACTCCCGCCACACTCAATCAGATGTCACCCGTGACACCCTTCTCCCCACCCACTCCTAGTTATCATTGCTGCAAAGCAAGCCACCCAAACTTGGTGGAATAAAACAACCATTTTATTGTGCTCTCGACTACGGTGGGTCAGGAATTGAGAAAGGGCACAGAGAGGGTGACCTGACTCTGATTCTTAATTTCTCAAGTCTCGGTTGGGAGGACTCAAAAGCTGGGAGTGAGGTGGCATTGGAGGTTGGAATCACCTGGAGACTGACTGACTCGTGTGCATCTGGCCTCCCCAGCTAGGCGGGCTCAAAACAGCACTGCCACCATATAGTGCCCACCCTTGGCCTCTCCCCGGCTTGGCTTCCTCACAGCTGGACAGCCTCAGGGAAGGACTGCTTACATGGTCACTCAGGGCTCCAAAAGTGAGTGACCCAGGGAACAAGGCCAACATGGCATCAGTTTTCCTGATCTAGCCTCCAAAGGCATGCAGTATCACCTGGGACATTCTATTGGTTATGAGCAAGTCGTAAACCCACCAAGATTCAAGGGGAAGAGACAGGAACCCCACCTAGAAGAGGATGTAGTAGAAGATGCTGTTTGGGCCATACTTCCCTTCATCCAAATTTCCCATCATGGCTGAGTTTTCTCTCCCTCTCAACCCTGCTGAGTCCCACACAGGCCTCTCTGTGCCCAGCGAGGTGAAGGTTGCTGTGGCTGGATGAGCCCTGCATCCAGGGAGGGTGAGGAACAGGCCTGACCACCAGGTAGCACCCGAGACTCCCCACCTAGAAGCCTTTGTGCTCAATGTTTATTGAGCGTTTGCTTCATCCCAGGCCTTGTACTAAGGGGCTGTCTGTGTCTCTCATTTAATCCTCATGACAACACTATCAGCAAGGTGCATTGTTACCCCCACTTCATATAGACATGGAGAGTTTGAATTAACTTGCTCAAGCGCCCAGAGCCAGCAAGAGGCAGTGAGAATCTGAATCCAGAATGAAAATAGGAGGCCTGGATGTCTAAAACACGAACCCAAAGGCTTCTCAGAGAAGGCTACATTTTTTTTACACACCCCGGAAAGAGACAGCCAAACCCAACCAGGACACCATCTGGTCCCCACACTGCGAAGCTCCCTCAGCCCAGGAGGAACACAGCGGGGCTTCCTGCACCAGCACAGCTGGCCAGGCCTCAGCCCCGGAATCTATGCGTGGGACCAGCTTCCTCTACAAACGCACAGAGGGAGACACTCGGCTGTGGGAATGACATTCCTGGTGAAGTCAGTGAGGACTTCACTGGACAGGCAGCTCCCTCTCCCTGCCAGTCCCTCTACTTTGAAGCATCTCTGAGCAAATGGGAATTCTTTCCCCGCGCTACCTGCCACAGAACACTTCACACCATCTTCCTCTACCCCTCAGGAAACATAAACTGAGTTTAGGTTTAAGAAGAAAACTTATTTTCCTGACCGGCGTGACTCAGTGGTTGAGTGTCGACCTATGAATCAGGAGGTCACGGTTCAATTCCCATTCAGAGCACATGCCTGGGTTGCAGGCTTGATCCCCAGGGTGGGGCGTGCAAGAGGCAGCTGATCAATTATTCTCTCTCATCATTGATGTTTCTATCTTTCTCTCCCTCCCCCTTCCTCTCTGAAATCAATACAAATATATATATATTTTTTTTAAAGAATAAAACTTATTTAACCAATGACCTCGAATAGCATATCTAAGAAGGCAAACCTTTTGTCTCCATGCATTTTTCACACACACACACACACACACACACACACACACACAATTCAAATTACATGCTTCTGAGTAGTTTTGGGGCTGCTTCTTCAGGTGTATGGCTAAGGGGCTCTAGGGGGTCTGCAGTCAACCTACCCAAGAGATGGTTGTGTCCCCAACACCAGTGAAAACCCAGAAGAATATTTCTCAAGTTTATTCCTCAGAAAGTTTGTGGCTATTCAGAAGAGGAAAAAATTATTCCTTGAGAAATGGATTTTGTTTGAGAAATTCTGGGTTTGACAAAGGTGTGGGGGGATAGCAGCTTTCCAGGGAAGAAGGCAACTGTCTTCCAAAGGTATCTGATGGTCACATCTGCTCCTCACAGAGCAGCTGCAGGAGCCTGGGCTCCGGGAAGGACCGGGGCTCCCCACGCCCAATCTGTAACACTCCATCCGGTGACCGCCAACTGCCATGTCTGAGTGCTTGGTGTGACTTCGGACTTTTTAAGACTGGCCAGTGACCAGCTTACTCAACTATGGCAAGAATGCAAGCAGTCCTAACTGGTTTGGCTCAGTGGATAGAGCATCAGCCTGCGGACTCAAGGGTCCCAGGTTCAATTCCGGTCAAGGGCATGTACCTGGGTTGTGGGCACATCCCCAATAGGGAGTGTGCAGGAGGCAGCTGATCGATGTTTCTCTCTCATCGATGTTTCTAACTCTCTATCCCTCTCCCTTCCTCTCTGTAAAAAAATCAATAAAATATATATTTTTAAAAAAGAATGCTAGCAGTTCCTGACCTACAGAGCACTGCTAGCACTGTTTTCATGAGAAAATAGATACAAAGGATATACCTGCAGAAGCGCCTTTACAACCAACCTACCAAAGCCTTGGAACTCATGCTATGCGTGAGCCGTGGCACAAGCAAGGGCTTCTGTGGTACTAAGGACGTTGTTTCCATTTGTCATAAAAAAAAAAGAGTTCTGAGTTGCAAGCAACATACAAACAAATGGTGAGAGCGCGCCTATGACTTTGCATGACACTGTGATATGCTCTCGAGTGCCACTGGGGCTACCAAGCTGTCTGTACATCGGTGACCTCGGACACGGTGCTTGGTCTCCACTGCTTTCCTGACAACACGACTTTAGGGCGTCCTCTTTGCTCGCAGCTGTCCCTTTGCACTGCTGTCAGAGAGGCGCCTCTCTCTTCCCACTTGCAATTGACTACTGGCTGGATAAAGAGGGCTGAAGGACTAAGCAGACATGCTTGCAAAGAGCTTCCTAGGCAGGGGCCTGGCCTCCACAGCCGAATCTGGGCTTCGTCACAGCTCCTGCAAAGGCCCAGAGGCCTTGACTGCACGTTTCGGGATTGGGGAGGCTGCCGAGTCCCAGACAAGAGTGATCCTGCTGTGAACAGGTGGGTGTGATGGAAAGAAAACCCACCTGAGAGTAACCAACGACGTTCCCGCTGGCGTCGAGCACGTTAAAATTGATGACTGGGCCCTGCGCCTCAGGGCTGCGGAACTCAGAGTCGCTGTAGATCCGCACCACCGGGGCCCCGTTGGGGTACCGGAGGGAGCACAGGGCGGCGTAGGTGTACCGAGCCAGGGTGAAGGTGTGCTGCTGCACATTCTCCATGCCGCCTCGAACACAGGAGAAAACGCCAGAGAGAATTAGTAGCTTATATAACATTCATTCTCGTTTCTTAAAAAAGAGATTATTATAACTGGCAAACTTGGACCTGATATTAATGATTTTAAATACTTGTAAATATTTGGTACTGCCCATATGATAAATGTTTAGGTCTTTGGTACTAAACAAGTGTACCATTGCTGAACTTTCCCATGGGAACACCTATATATGTAATCTTACCCACTTACTACAATCTTTTAAAAAAATTAAGTTGGAAAAATCGGGGTTTGCTTTATTGGAAAACTGACATTGCCGATCTACTTTCAAGGTGCCCTGGCCCTGTCAGACCCTGCCACTTGCGTTTGGGTGCCATGTTGATATCTTTCCTGGGGAAAGTGCTCATTTTCAGTGTCGGTCCTGATTACCTCTCTCTGTCCTGGATGATGCCCACCCACCTCCCTGCAGGGCACCTCTCTCCTCCCATGAGGCCCGTCCGCCTCCTGCGTTGGGCTAAGGCTAAGGACCTGCGGGGTCCCATGATTGTGAAATAAGAGACGGAGAAAGGGATGCCTAACCATAAAGCCACGCCCCTGGTTCACCCCAGGGCCCTCTCCACATGGTGGTACAAGCGATGCCGCCAGCTCTAGAAGCTCAGCCTCTAGAACAGTGGTTCTCAACCTTCCTAATGCCGCGACCCTTTAATACAGTTCCTCATGTTGTGGTGACCCCCAATTTCATTGTTACAAATTGAACATAATTAAAGCATAGTGATTAATCACAAAAACAATATGTAATTATATATGTGTTTTCCAATGGTCTTATGCAACCCCTGTGAAAGGGTCGTTCGACCCCCAAAGGGGTTGCGACCCACAGGTTGAGAACCGCTGCTCTAGAAGGAGCACAGCAGGACGGTGGATGCCCGGATCACCAGACGGAGGTTCCTCCAGGCCTGTACCTTTGTGTCAAGCCCCAGGTGATGGGAAGTGGCATCTGTCTGTGTCAGCCTACAGTGAGCGCCCCAATCTGCCCACACCCCTGAGCGCTCGTCAGATGGGAAACATGCAAAGGCCAGGGGCAGGCACGGTGTTGGAGGCTCAGGGTCAGGCCTTATTTGTCCTGGGTTTAAATCCAGGCCTCCCACTTGCCAGCTCCCTGGCCCTGGAGAAGGCACTCAGCCTCTCTGAGCACAAGCGCCTCTGTGGATAAGCAGGCCAGCCATGTATCCCGGGTGGGACCCAGGGGGCACCCAGCAAGGTCAGAGCGGAGGAAGGTCTCGAGACCTGTAACCGGTCCCAGTGCAGGAGCCGGATGTCTCCCCTGCTCCTGTGAGGTGATTCCAGTCCTGCCTCGGGCTGACTCTTACCTGTAACAATGCTCTGTAACTGACAAAAAAGCCTCAGTCCCTTGCTTTTGCCTCAGGAGTCACTTAGAAGTTCTTCAGCGACGGCTCTAAAGGCGGTCACTGTACAGCAGCCGCGGGTCACACACCCACTCCTTCATCTGAGTCACCCCGGGCTGGGCTCCCCGGAGGACGTGGGCTACGGGAGCAAATTCCACGGGATAACAATGTCCCCCTACCTGTGAGGCGCTCCAGGGCATCAAATCCGTGTTTGAGCGCTATCACGTCAAGGAACGGGATGGTGCCATCCTCAAACCTGTAACCAGGGTGAGGGAAGGAGTCAAGCGGGGTCGCGTCTCCACATGCATGTGTGGCATGTAATGACTCAGGCTCGGCCATATCTGTGAACACCTTCTCCCTGCTGCCTCGTAAGCATCACGCTCCTCCTCGGGACAGAGGGCTTTGCACACCCGACACGCAGCTGCCTCTGTCCCTGACCCACCCGCAGCTTCCTCAGGGCGGGCTGGCAGCAGCGACAAAAGACCCTCAACAGTCGCCATCTGAGACATGAACAAGCAGAGAGATGCGTGGCTGCCCCAGGAAGACTTTGGATTTGACAGAACCTCCAGGGCTGTGGGCTCTTGAAACGCTGCACTTGACCCCAAGAGGGCCCCACTGGCAGGGCACAGTGTCAGGGTGCCAATGGTGCCCCAGGGGCATCTTTGCAAGAGCCTGAGATTCCAAAGTCTACAGAGCACAGGCTTTTCCAAAAATGACGAGGCTCTCCACACAGCAGACGGACCTCTTCCTGGTTATCAGGGGTTCGTGTGCTGGCATTTCATAATCAGTCACCAGATCTTTCTCGTGCTGGGTGCTGGGCACTGTTCTAGGTGCTCAGGATGCCGCAGTGAACGTGGCAGGTAAAACCCCTGCCCTCACGCCCTTCCATTCGCCTGAGGGCCCAGAAACAAGGCACAACAAGCAACACGCAGGCAGAGAGAAGCCAACTAAGCAACAAGCCGGTGGTGACAAGTGCGATGAAGATGCATAAAGCAGAGGGCTGGCGGCCACTCTAGAGAGGTGGTTAGGGAGGCCCTCTCTGAGGGAGACCACTTGAGCAAAGTGGCATGGAAGTAAGGGAGCGGGGGAGGCCGCTCATTTTGAAACAGCTGAGTCCACAGCCTCAGAGAGAAGAGCATCCCAGGGAGAAGGGGCAGCACACACCCTGAGCACAGGGAGCCTGGCACACACACACACACACACACACACCACCACCACCACCACCCCACCCCCCGCAGCAGCAAGGAGGCCCGGGGGCCGGGTGGGAGCGGGCAAGGCGGGGGTAGTAGGAGATACAGTCAGAGGACTTCCACCCTGGATGAGCTAGAAGGGGCTTGAGGACCCTGAGCAGAGAGGAGTGACAGGATGGGGCCTAGACTTTGACAAGACACCTCTGGCTGCTGCAGAAGCGATGGGACAGCTGGGAGACACTGGGAGGTCCGCAAGCATCAGGATAACGGGTGGTGGCAAACAGCAGCCTGGTGCAAGTTGAAGCTTTCAGTGAGACTATTGTGTTCTGTATTTTAACCCTGTACGGATAAGGTTTGCTCAAAATATTGTTGCTGCAGTATTAGTTTCCTTATAAAATGAATGGTAATTAATGGACATACAGAATTAGTGGATCAATAATAAACTACTAGTTGATTAACCACTAATGAATTTGGTACATAATTAATCTTTAATAAATTTAACATTATTTGCCAATAATGACTTGTTATTAATTGAGCAATAATAAATAACTATTTATTAATCAATAATTAATAGGCTCTTAGGGGGTAAAGGGGGTTGCTTGTTTTCATCAAAGATTAAGTTATCAAATAGAAAAGATGAACAACATGGTCTAGGTAACATGTTCAAGAAACATGTAGGTTGTGTATTAAATTTCTTGAGTTCTAGTCCTAAGTTCACAAGAAAAAAATTCAGCTTGCTGGGCGTCTCGGTGTGGCAGCTGCCGTAAGACAACCCCCCAAATGGAAGGACAGTGGTCTGGGCCAGCCCAGCCCACCCACACCTGCCTGGAACGAGCTGCCCACTTCTCTCTGCCTTCACATGCCCTATTGGCTCAATAAAGTTTGGGTTGTCATGTTGTTCTGCCTTTAATTTATATGTTGTGCCTGTCTTTCTTTTCTCACTTAATTATGTTACACATTAACTTATCACACTTGTATTCAAAAGGTTTTACAGTAGTGTTTCTGTTTTAGAGTCCCCCACCTATGGGATGTTCTGAATAAAAGAGACATAAAATAGCCTCACAATGTATTGATGCCAACTCCATCTTGGTGCTTCACCTATTAGCGCTAAAGTACTGTATCCTTTTAGAGAGCCACTTTTTTTTATTTTTAATCCTCACCCAAGGACATGCTTGTTGATTTGAGAGAGGGGGGAAGAGAGAGAGAGAAAAAAAATCAGTGTGAGAGAGAAACATCAATTAGTGCCTTCCCATATGTGCCCCAACCGGGGATCGAACCCACAACCTAGGTATGTGCCCTGACCAGGAATCGAACCTGCAACCTTTCGGTGTATGGGATGACACTGAACCAACTGAGCCACACCAGCCAAGGCTAGAGACCCACTTTATGGGAAAAACAGATCAAGCCACATGCCCCTGCCCCCACGGCTGGGGTGTGTTGGAGTCGGGACTCACTCCCCAGCGAAACCAGCTCTGGGGCCTAGACACATGACCAACAACTCTACTGCCAAAGCCATCCCCCCCTCTCTGCAGGACCCTGGAGTCTGCACCTGGGTCTGTGGGGGCTCTGACCCCCTTCCCATCCAGGCCCCAGGCCTTCTCAGACACCAGCAGGTGACCCAACCTGCCCCAACCCCACGGCACCCCCTCCTGTTGGAACCAGCGGAACCCTGAGTTCCCAGCTACCAGTTTCGGCCTCTCACATCTGGGAAATTCCTGAGCATTAGCCAGTCGCCTGCCCTGCCGCCTGGGAAAACCCCCGCAGAGGCCTGTGCCGCTGGATGCCAAGTAGCTGCCTGCCCTCCGCTGTCCTTTGTACCGCACAGCGGGGCGCACAGAGGCAGCTGTTCACAGTGCCCACAAGGCTGGTGGCCTCTCGTTTAATTGATTCCTCCTATTAACCAGGGCCAAGCTGAGCTGATTCTAGCTGCTAAAAGCCAGCTATGCTGTCAACCTGTGTGCACACTTGTTCAAAACCGTCCAAATCGCTGCTTTCATGGACACCCCTCACCAGCACTCTGTGCAAAGGCCAGGGCCCCCCCTCCTTCTGCGGTGAGGTCCTCTCACCTCTTCTGCGTGCAGCCCTCACCCGCAGCCCTTGTGCTCCCACCGCTAAAGGGGCCCCACAAACAGGAGCAGAGTTCACTGAGCCGTGGCCTCTGCCTCCCACATCTGAGCCTGCCGCCAGCCTCCGTCCCTGCCAGGAACCGCCAACCCTGACCCCAGTGGCCCAGCCCCCCCTGAGCCCCCTGCACAACCCTACAGGCTGCACAGCCAGCCCCCAGACTTGCTGGACTCTGCCCCAGCCACTCCCACGCGAGGTGACCTTTCTGCCACCGACGGCCTGGGGATGTAGAAGTCTTCTCCCGCCAGGTATGCAGCAGCGGTGCCTCCTCCAAAGTAGGTTTTCCTCAGCAGGGGAGCCATCCGATTATGCACCAGCAGCGCCCCCAGGCCTGTGGGGAAGCCGAAGATCTTGTAGAAGGAGAGGGAGACGAAATCCGCCTGGTGCGCCGACAGGTCCAAAGGGGAGGTGCTGGCGTAGGAGGCTGCGTCCAGCAGCACGAACCACCGCCCGGGTGCGGGCGCGCTCACCGGGCACATGCGCCCCGCCGTGACCTCTCCTATCCAGGACAGAGGGTACCTAGTGCCAGAAAAGTTACTCTGAGCCGGATAACAGAAGAGATGCGGAAGCTGGCAGTCCGGGTCGCTGGCGGCAGTACCCTGTTTCTCCGCCGACCACATGTCCTCGGGCCTGACCGGGATGGAAGTGACATTCCTGGCTGTGGTGACCATCCGCATGCCCACCACGGAGGTGTGGCTGTCGGTGAGGTAACAGAACAGGCTCCCGCTGCTCCCGGGGCCCCGGGGCACCCACGGGAAGGCTTCCGCCACCAGTTTAAGGGCAGCCGTGCTCCCGGCGGTGAAAATCACGCTGTAGTCCTCTGGGGAGGCGTGGAAGTGCGCCAGGACCCTGGAAAACACAGCATCGCGGCGGCTGGGCTCACTCGGCGCTCAGTGTTTGCAATGAGCTGCATTCCCGCTACACATGCACCTCTCTGCCTGAATAGCTAGAAGCAAGCCCAGAGAGGCTCTGCCATGACCCTGAAGTCAGAGCAGGTGTGGGAAGAGATGACCAACGGATTCAAACTGGCAAAATCACCTGCCTCCCAGGTCCCCGCCCCCACGGAGAAGATGAGAACCCACAGCTGCCTTCGCCTTAGTTGAAAACACCTCCCCCCCTTGGTCTACTCTGGCTCCATCATCAGTTTTAAGTCCCCAGCTTGTTTCACGTTGCTTTTTAATATTGGCAACCCAGTATCCCTTTCAAATTGGAGATAATTTGAAATTGTATCAATTCAAGTAACTTTAGGTACCACTTGGAAATTATTTACTGAACGCTAGTTACTACATGTGGAAAAATATAGAGCTGTTTCATGTGCAAATATTAGTAAAAAGGGGGATGAATAAAACAAGATGCCTAAGGAAACATGAAAAGGAAAACCAGAGAAACTGTTTTTATTCTCTCTACAAACAAGACTTAGGACCTGTGTCACTCCTTATCACTCTGGTCCCAGGAACTAGGGCAGCAGCCCAGAGCCACACACACAGCGCTGCACACCTCAGCTGCCTCCCTGTGCTTCTGGTCGGCCCCCATTGGCCCCTGCTCACTCTCACCTTCCCAACCTCGGACCCTGATCTTTATCATTGTGTGTGTGGCCACTTAACTGAATGTGACCTTCCTGAAACCATTTCAGAGCCTGGGATGTGGGCAGGTGTAGGAGGCATGTCCATACACTAGGAGAGCCTGCTCCAGAGGGCACCCCGCCGCTCACCTGTAGCGCACCTGCTCCACGGTGTCCTGGGTGAGCTTGCTGCTGATGTTCTGGCTGTGAGGGTTACCTGGGGGGTTACAAAGACAAATCCATCAGTCACTCACTACTTATGGTCTCTCCTTTTCTGTTCATCCAAAACCCTCTCCCGTGGTTTCTCAAAAAGTTAAGCATAAAACTATTATGTGATTCCACTCCTATATACTCAATAGAAATGGAAACATGTCCACACAAAGATTCATGCACAAGAATGTTCATAGCAGCTCTATTTGTAAAGCTAAATTCTGGGAACATAAATATCAATCAATTGGTGAACAGATAGATAAAATGTAGCATATCCATACAATGAAAAATTATTTGGCAATAAAGAGGAAAAAACTACTGACTATGTCATGCATGAACCTCAAAAGCATGCTAAGTGGGGGTGGGCTACAAGGGGTCAAATGGAGGAAAAGAAGGGGACATATGTAAGACTTTCAACAATAAAGTTTTTTTTAAAAAAAAAAGACATCAGACACAGAGATCACATATTGCATGATCCACTTATATAAAACTAAAGGCCTGGTGCACAAAATTCATGCACGGGTAGGGTCCCTATGCCTGGCGGGCAATCAGGGCCAATTGGGGCCTTCCAGCTGCCAGCTAGGGCCTTCCTTCCCCCGCTGCTGGCTGAGGCCTTTCTTCATTCTGCGCCGCCCCTGGTGGTCAGCACATGTCATAGCAAGTGATCAAACTCCAGGTCTCCTAATCAAACTCCTGAAGGGACACTTTGCAAATTAACCTTTTATATATATAGTTGTCCAGCAAAGGTGACTGTATAGAGATACAGAAAGTAGTAGATCAGTGGTGGCTTGGAGTGAGAGTGAGGGGACAGAGGCGGGCAGGTTGAGGGGGTGGGGGAGCAACAGAGATCAACTGTGAATGGGCATCAGAGATTTTATTGGGGGAATGAAAATATTCTAAATTATTTATAGTGAGACTAAAAATCATTGAATTGTACACTTGAAATATGTGAATTTTATGGATATAAAATATAACTCAAGAAATCTGGCCCAGTCGGCATGGCTCAGTGGATGAGCGTAGACCTATGAACTAGGAGGTCATAGTTCAATTCTCGGTCAGGGCACATGCCCAGGTTGTGGGCTAGATCCCCATCGTGAGGCATGCAAGAGGCAGGCAATCAATGATTCTCTCTCATCATTGATGTTTCTCTCTTTCTCTTCCTCTCCCTTCCTCTCTGAAATCAATAAAAAAAATTTTTTAAACCTGCTAAACAAACAAAGCAAGTAAAACAAACACGACAGGATCTAGGAAGAGCCTCTGGAACTGGAAGTCAGCCAATACGAGAACCTCTTCTACAAGTTTCCCAACAGGTGGCCAGCCCAGTTCTGTTCATTAACTCCAGGGAGCCAAGCTGCCTAGAAACTCAGCTGCCCCGACTGCCCCGACTGCCCCCAGCCCCAGCGCTTCCTGACAATGTGGCCTCAGAGTAATGACCTGCCTCCCCAGGCAGTTTCCTCCCTTGAACAGCAGGAGAGAACAGAACCTGTACCTGAGCTTGCCCTGAGAATGGAGAGATAGTACAGATGAAGCATTTGGAACAGTACCTGAAGCACAATGAGTGCTCAGTACAGGTTATTATTATCATTTATTGTTATTATCATTACCATGGTTACACCTGCTACTGCTGCTATTTCAACATCGCTTTCCAAAGTTATCTCCTGATCACATTGTGCTGCTAATTAATGCTTTCAGTGACTGGCCATCATTTCTAGAATAAAGTTCAAACTCTACAGAGCACCTATAAGGTACCTACCTACCTTTCCATTCATGCCTCCCTCTGAGTTCCTGGGCTGGTTCCTGAAACCACAGCAGGGTCCTGGCTCATTTGTTCCCTTTGCCCTTCTCCTGACTCTTCCGAGGGAATTCCTGCTCATCCTCCAGCATCGAGCCCACTCCTGAGGAAATTTCCCTGCTGCTCACACTGCCCACCTGCTGTCACTCTGCAGTTCCAGACCCCATGGCCCAGAGGCCTTCGGTTCACAGCCCTTCACACCGTTGGTAATTTACATTTACTTGGGAATCACTGTCTTGAGGTCTAGCCCTAACTAGACCAGAGTCCGTGAAGGCAGGGACTGGTTACTTTGTGCCCATTTGCACCATGCCCCCGACACCAGAGTGGCTGACAAATATTTATGGAGTGAGTGAATGCATGCATATTCCCCCTGTTGTCCCTCTCTATGTACAGTGCCAGTCCCAGGGGCCATCCCACCACCAAATACAGCACCTTGTGTCCCTGTGCCTTTCCTCTGGGAGTAACACACATGCCCCTGAGCCAGTTACCCCATCCTGGCAGCACGTGTGTTGTAAGGAATGACATGTGTTTGCCTGCTTATTCAGCTCTGGGTCCCAGCTCGGTCACAGTCTATTAACCCAACATTTATTAAGCAGAGACCCCTCCACTGAATGTAGTTGGCTAACGCCCAATGCAAGAATCAGTGATGGTGTGTTCTTCTTTACCGTAAACATTCTCCAGGAGATCACGAGTGAAGCTCCTGAGCTGGCTCTCGGGGAACAGCGTGGCTCCTGCATGGTCAAGGTAGACAGTTCCTGAGAGAAAGCACAGAATAAAGCTGTGGTTATTTTTCAGAGGTTTTCCACTCTTTGCACCTAGATCTGGTTTGTGTGAGCGTGAGCAGTGCCCATGGCATTCGTTTGGGCGTAACATCAGGCCACTCTCTCTTCCAGCCTCTCGATGTGCTTCTAAATCCAAGTGCAGACGTGAGCAATGGAAGAACTGCACTTTCAATAGTTAATGAGTCCTGACGTCTTCCTGACTAACCAGCTCTTAGGAACCTGGGAGTTTCTCACACAAAGGAGGAGCCCAACAGGTGGCTCTGGTTAATGACCCTAATGTTAGTTCGCCTTCTGACTCACACCCTCTTCCGAGTTTCTGTGCAGCTTCCCCGGCCTGGAGACCTGATTCTGCTTTCCCTAGTGAATTCTACATCTCTCTAAAGCAGTGGTTCTCAACCTCCTGGCCCTTTAAATACAGTTCCTCATGTTGTGACCCAACCATAAAATTATTTTCGTTGCTACTTCAGACCTGTAATGTTGCTACTGTTATGAATCATAATGTAAATATCTGATATGCAGGATGGTCTTAGGTGAAAGGGTCGTTCAACCGCCAAAGGGGTCGCGACCCACAGGTTGAGAACCACTGCTCTAAAGCTTCCAGCGCGTCAGAGAACAGTAGTAATTTACATGATCTTTCCGGCCTCTCACAAACAGAGAAGGCAAATTTAGAGGTTCACCATCAGATGGTCAAGATCAAAAGGTTGGATAACTCACTGCATGGGTGAAGGTGTGGGAAAACAGGCCAGCTGGTACATGGCTGGTAGGAAGGCAAATTGGTACAACTTCTTTTTTAAAAAATATATTTTTATTGATTTCAGGCAGGAAGAGAGAGGGAGAGAGAGAGATGGAAACATCAATGATGAGAGAGAATCATCTATCGGCTGCCTCCTGCACGCCCCCTACTGGAGATTGAGCCCACAACCCAGGCATATGCCCTGGATCAGAATCGAACCCAGGACCCTTCAGTCCACAGGCCAACAGCTCTATCCACTGAGCAAACCAGCTAGGATGGTACAACTTCTTTATGGACAGAAATTTGGCAATATTGGTAATACTTTAAAATGCAAACTCTCTGACCTATCAATTATTCTATCTTATAAATAACCGTGCTTTTATGAAATGGGCTGTCTATGAGGATATTCCGTTCTGATCTTTGTCAATGCAGCACTGTCTGCTATAGACAAAGATCAAAAATGACTTAAATGTTCATCACCATGTATTTAAAATAAAGGATTATTGTACACCCATCTAGTACTTTAAAAGTACTGATGCGGAACAAACTCTGAAACACATTTTCAAGAATATACAATGTAAATAGATCCATTCATTTTCTTGCCTAACTATCCTGGCTAGAACCTCTGGTGCAATGTTGAATACAAGTGGTGAGAACAGACATCCTTGTCTCGTTCCTGACCTTAGGGGTAAAGCTTTCAGTTTTTCACCATTAAGTATGATGTTAGCTCTGCTTATTTGTTTATAGATGGCCTTTATCTGGTTAATTACATTTCCTTTTAGTCCTAGTTTATTGCATGTTGTTATCATGTAAATGTATTATCTAGTCCAGAAAATTATTGTTAAAGTAACATTCTCTTTAACTGAAGATTCAGTTACTCAAAATTACACACCAAAAGAAAGGCTTTCATCCACCCAGGCATCGGGGAAGATGCTCGTGTGAAGCCCGGGACACATGTAAACCCTGAGGGGCTGCTGAGGCAGCACCACTTTGCCCACAGACTTCTGCAGGGCCAGGAAGCCATTTGGGAGAAGGCCGCACTGGCCTTTGGTCCAGAACCTCATGTTGCAAAACTAACTAGAGATCTAAATCAGCTAGAGATCTGCTCTTAGGAGGTCAGCCAACACAGTGGCTAACAGTGCAGAATCCAAGTCAACCAACCTTCATCGAATCCTGCTAGCCATTCTGGGTCCCTACTCCTTCATCTGCAAATGGGATGAAAGTTAAATAAGTTGGTGTATGACAGGGCCCAGTCCAGTGCCTGGCACACATGCCACAGGGTTCAGCTGTTCTTAGAAGAAGGCAAATTACCCCAAACCAACTGGCATTAGGCCTTCAAGAAAGGAAATTCCAGTGTCTCTTCTGGGTCATGCTCCTTCAGCTGTCAGTTCCATCAATTGTGGCCATCAGCACCCTGAAGCTTCAAGAACCACTTGAACTATGTCTGCATATTGAATATGCTCCCTTCACCAAGACAAAGAAATTCCCATCCTATTGATTAGGCAAAATATTTCAGACTTGAAGGTTAAGCATTTAATTATCCAGAACTCCACTTAACCAGACCAATTCTCAAGCCTGCAGAAAATCTATGGGGTGATGGGGAAGGAAGAGGACGTAAACGTTATATTACTTTGGCTTGTTTTGTTTGTTTGATTTTCCTCAGCCCTATGAGGGGGTGAAGGGGAATGGAAATGTTCCAAAACTCCTAGTGGTGCGAGGGGTGAGTTTAGTCCACAAAAGCCTACTTCAATCATAATGTAGAGAAAATGCTGGGAACGTGCACTAAGTAGATAAATAGATAAATACGTCAGGATGCACACAACGCTACCACAAGTGCAGATAGTCCCCAACTTATGATGATTTGACTTAACAATTGTTTTTTACTTTATGATGGCATGAAAGCGATACACATTCAGCAGAAACCATACTTTGAATTTTGATCTCCTCCTGGTCTATTGATATGCAGTACAATCTTCTCTAGTGATACTCAACAGTGGTAGCGAGCCATGCCTCCCAGACAGCCATGCCATCGCGAGGGTGAACAACTGATGCCCAACTGTGGGTTAATGCAAGTGTTCTGAGCACATTCAAGGTAGGCTAGGCTAAGCTATGGCGCTCGGTAGGTGTATTCAATGCATTTTCCACTTACGATATTTTCAATTTGTGATGGGTTTATCCAGAGGTAACCCCACAGTAAGGGTAGGAGCATGTGTGCAGTAGATGTTAAAGGGGCTCTGAAGCCCAGCCTGAAATCCTGGCTGTCACATCCAAATTATGAATTTGAAGGGGGAGGTGCTGTTCCTTAAAGGACAAGAGTGAAACAAGGAGGTGCCCAGAGAACACAGCTCTACTTTGGGGGAGAGGTCGGGGGAGGGGTTGGGTCAGAGCTGGGGGGATTGAGGTGCTAAAATAATTACTGACTGAATTGCTACAGCCTTTGGGACTTGCTTCAAACCTCCCTCCCTCCCTCCCTCCGCACCTGTGGGTGTTCAGTGTACCAGTCCATTTCAGTGGGTAGGAGATTTCTAGAATAAAAACGCTCAGGGATAGAAGGTGGAAGCAGAGGGACAAGGGCTGTCTGTCTCCCGCAGGTGAATGTGCAGCTCTCAATGGGGAGTGGAGCAGAAGGCCCGCCTTCCGCCCGAGCCTCCCCTCTTAACTACAGACTGGGACACGCAAAAAGCAAGCCACACCCCTCAAAGCCCCCAACGGGGAAAAAAGAGTCACTAACTGAAACCTCAGCAAATAACCCAAAGAGCTGGAATCAGCTACCCGATTAATGAAATGTAAATCGTGATTGGTGTCCTACCACAGGGAGGCGCAGTCACCAAATGTTCACCAAAGCACCAAGTACACCCCAAATCCGGGTGCCGGCACCACGACCTGCCACTGAACCTGAACCTGAGGACCAGCCCTGCTCAGGGCTCCAGGAAGCCCCTCAAAGGTCTCTAGCAAAAGGGTGAGTCCTACCCTGCAGGGCGGGACGAGGCGGGGGCGCCCGCCTTGCAGTAACGCGCTGGGAACCGCCGCAGGGCTGGCTCAGGGTTGATTTCACACTTACCCAACCTGTTCCACCTTTCTGAACTCAAAGGCACCCCGACCTCGTGTCCGATTTCCAGCCTCGCCTTGTACCCAGCGCTCAAAGTTTACAGTTTGCTAATTCTTCCAGCCCCGCAGCGAGCTGGGGGGCAGAGGCGTTGTTCAAAAATGAGAAAAAGGAGGTTTCGAAAATAAAAGCTGCCTGTGAGCTATCTCAGCGGACAGGAACGCAGCTTTGGGGCGGGGGACCCTGCCCAGCGGCCTCAGCCTCGGTCTTCCAGGCGCCCTGACCGCCCACGCGGCGCTCCGCTGCCCCGGGGAGCATCCGACAGCCGCGGCCACTGGACATTCCTGCGTTTTGCAGCCCCGCTTCCAGCTGGACCTTTAGAGTCGGCAGCCTCGACGGCAGAACCCTGAGCCCTGTTCGCGGAGGGTGGGGACCGGTGGAAAGGGTCTAGGTTGGCCCGATACCCCTGGAAAGTCTAAGGAGCAAGAGCAGCAAGAAGTCCCGGGGCTGCAGATGGGACCTCAGGGAGCCGTGTCCACGCAGCAGACGCATGGGCACGTCCCTCCAAATCTTTCCATTCAAAATGCGCCCCAAACTAGGCCACGCGCTGCCACCTGGAGCAAGAAAACGCCTTAGAAGCCGCGTGCCCCCCCCCCCCGCCCCCGCCGCCCGCCAGCCCCGCGCAGGTGCCCCGCGGCCTCACCTGCCAGGCGCCCGAACTCTCGCGCCCGCAGCTCCCGCAGGCCGCGCGGGCCGTGGCCGTAGCCGTAGGCGAGGGGCTGCGCACTCGCCTCCCGGAATCGCTCGAAGGCCAGCAGCTCAGAAGCCGGCTGCACCGCCCCGTCG